ATACTATTTTATATTTTTATACTACTTTTATACTTTTATACAACTATATTATAATATTTTTATATAAACAGAAAAAAAAAACGCGTGCACCAGGAGGTGCACGAAGCTAAGCGGGGGGGACTGTTACGAGGCGCTATGCTGAATTTAAGATGACATTTAAAATATAGGAAATTTAATATTTAGCTTAACTTTAAACATTACAAGTGGATTAGTTACGAGACGACATTCTGACATTTTGTAGGACTTTTGGTAATAGCAAAGTAAACGTTACAAGTGGATTAGGGAAGGCCAAGGCTAGGTATGGGTGGTCGCGCTTGGAACGAAGATCGGCCAGGATMGGGAGTCGCCGTAGTTCACGCGCCCAACCATGCCCAGCCTGGCAAATGGTATGAATCACGAGTAAAGGTAAAATAGATGCTTTAAGAAAGTATTTGTAGATATAATTTATATTGGAGAGCTATATGTGGTACCATCAGCCAGGGGCACATCCCTCACCGGGGATGCCACAAAACCAGACAAAACCAACCATTCCCAGAAAGTTCTAATCCCAGGAAAAGGAAAGGATTGGCTGCAAATTGGTGTGGGGTAAATTTTAATACCCCAGGTAAAACCCAAACACTGTCTGATTGTAGCACATATAAGCCGAACAGATTTGTGAAAGAAGTTAGAAGTTAGAACTGAGGTCACAATAAAAGAACCAAAGAGCAAAGAAGTTATATTGAATCCACGGTTCCTAACAATATTGTACATTATACTAACAATTTCAAGCAGACCTTTGCCAACAAAGTCAAACAGTACACCAGTACTCTTGTGACTTGAAATTATTAACATATCATTCACAATAAAGTCTATATACGGCAATATGTAGAAATAATGATCGCTTTTGCTCATGTTTTCTTAAGTTGCCTATAGCACTAGTTCTTTCCGAAAAAAAAATTTGATTCTTTGGCATCATCTTGTTTCTGTAAGAGTAGAGAATGAAGAGAAAGAATGCACTTCTTTGAGCCTTCGCGGAATTGATAGAGCGCATTCCGTATGACTGTGCAAAAAACACGGTACTTTCGCGCAGTGGTCGTACCGTGCCGTGGCGGTGATATCGATGTATTGTTAAATCTTATTTGAAATCCTAGAAGGCGAGGTTCCGAGACCGTGCCGTGCCGTCTCCGTCTTGTGATCCGTACCGTTGCACAGTCATACGAAATCCGCTCTAATGCACACTTACGATCCCGGCGAATCATTTCTAAAAAAAGTCGTGCACTTTCTTCGTACACAGTATAACGTTAACAAAAAACACTTAAGAGTGGATGTCCGTAAAAATCAAACAAAAGGTGGCAAACCTTGAAAAATCGATTTCGCTCATACTTATACTATTGATAGGGTAGAGTGTCCCTATAAACGCTGTGTAGTTAGTTTGGCTGAATATCGTGTTTTGGGGGAGATATATGCAAATTAGTTGAGGACACCGAAAATTGTAGATTTCATCACAGGCAACCCAAGCAGAGCATACAAAAACATTTTTTAATAAAATCATCTTACCTTGATATCATGTGTTCTTGATGTTATTTAACATTGCTGTGTGTGGTTTTGAAGGGATTTAGACCTATTTTATAAAAAATATCACCCTCAGTAGTAAAAGACTACAAGGCTGGTTACAGAGCGTCCACACCACTCGTCTTTAATAGCCGAAAAAAATATCTTAAATCCATCTTTTGCCTCCAAAATACTCTCAGCGGCATGTCTCTAGGATCCTTCTATCCAGAATTGGGCAACCTTTCAACGGTTTATAAATCCAACCGTGCCAAATCGTCATGTTTGTACGCTATTCGGACTCAATATTTGCATCCGGTCAACCCTTCATCCAGCTTGTTGGACACGGACTTTGACCGTCTTGCAAAACTCCCTCTGATTGGACGACAGTTTCCATGGAATCACTTCAAAAACCCCCGACTACTAGCCAATCTTACTTCGCATAATGATGAAGTTGACAAAGTCCGTAGTCTTCCCTTAACCGACACAGAGAAATGGGTTTTGCAGCCACTGTAACTACACCACTAATCAGATTCACATGTACATCGGTACATGAAGCAAATCCTGTTGAATTGTTGAAGCCCGTATTCACTACGGCCACATAACTACTGCTTTAGGTTTTAGACCGTGTTTTGGACATTAATTCACGTCAGTATGAACGCAAATTGATTTCACTCTCTATACAATTTGAGAGGAAGGGAACATTTGGAATATTGTTTTTTGTGTGACATAACACTAATCTATTTTTATTCAGAAATCATGCAAAATGAACACCAGCCACAAAATCTACATTTCGTATGCATTGTATTAGTCTGCACCACTCGTCAATTGTCGAGTGCATTTGTTGTAAAATATGATTACCGGACATTAGTTCTACTTACAAAACTTAATGAGAGAATGTGACCAGTAAAACAAAAAATAAATTGTGTGCCTATATTTGAATTGAGTTTTATGTACAAGGTGTGGGGTAATAGTAGCATTTCATGAGTAAAACTTAAATTTGTGTTAACTTTCGTCTAGACAAACCACGTAATGTAAAGGTGTCTCCATCACGACTGGTACTGAATGAATCTGAAACATTGAATCTCACCTGTGATGCATCAGCTAATCCTGCTGGAAGCTACTCGTGGTCATTGAATGGCAAGATTCTGGAAGGGGAAACTAGCCGCATGTTGACTAAACACAATATCACAATACAAGATGCTGGAGAATATATCTGTACAGTTACGAATAGCCTTGGTACTGATACTAGTAACAAAGCTGTTGTTGATGTCCCACGTAAGTTCTTATGCGAGTATGATAATTAAGCGTATCGTACATGGCAAACTGCAAAGGAGACACATGACATGCGCGTGCCGTTCTGAAATGAAAGAGCATCTTTTCACGTTTAAGCGAAACGCATATTGTAATGATCTAGTCTCGTTTCTTCTATTGAACTGAAGCTTTTGACTGCTCGATCTTTCGATTTCATTATAGCGAAAGGTTTCTACTATATAAACATTTTATAATAGGCAATTTGCTTTATGGCGTCATTTACTACAACTACCAGAATGCTTTGCCAACTTTCTTTTGTAATGCAATTAGTGCCAATTGTTTTATTAATCTGCAAGGGGATTAAAAATCTCGGTAACATCCAAAATGCTTGTTTAAATCTGATTTTCATACATACATGTATATTAGGTGAATTATTTGAGCTATCAGCACCATCATGAAGTTTAAACGTTTTAGAGACTTTCTTGGTATGTTAACGTTGAACATTTCTGTTCAATTAACTCTTGGATTTATTCTCCTTTGCAAAGCAACCAAACGGGGATAAGTAAAAAACGCCTTCCTTTTTACCACCCAAACTACACAAAATTCAAAAATGAGTTTTTTCAAGAATCATTCCTGTATCTGTCCCGAGATAGATCTACACTAAATCTTGTGGCTTTCTTGTTATCATTAGAAACTTAGTTTTCGAGTATTTTGTTTTAACTAAGAAACACACTAAAAAGCATATCTCGCCATTTTGTTTTTTCTCCACTCATGCAGTTGTGGTGTATGAGCTGATAGCCCAGTAGTAGAGAAACCAATCAGAGCGCTTGCTTGCTCAAATCCAGTGATTGTGTATAAAGTAAAATAATAATAGATACAAGTATTGTGTTATACCTATTTTTATAACTGATACTATAGTAATAGCTGAATAATCTTATCTATTCACCAACAGACATAGGGGCTGCAAATTGTACAGCCAGTCCTGATCCTGTGCAAGATGGCAATAATATCACCCTAAAGTGTTCAGCTTCTGGTTATCCAGCTGTTAACTATAACTTGACTGTGAGAAACTTAGAAGTTTCTGAAAATGTAATAGCTGTCAAGGCAGAAGCCAGTCTCAATGGTGCTGTTATGACATGTAAAGCTGTTAATGAGTTTGGAACCAGGAATTGTACGAAATCAGTCACAGTGCACTGTAAGTATGTGATATTGGTGCTGCATAGTTATTTCCATTGTATTTGGAGAAGGTTCTGTCGTATGACTTCCATATATGGTTGTGCATTTACACGGCACTGATGTACACATAGAAGTTCCTCTTGTCCCTATTGAGTGAATCTGAATTTTTGTGATATTTGTGCAACGGCATCCATGAATAAGATTGAATATATAATTAATTTTCCGGATTAGCTGGCTAGGGTCAATTATCATAATTAAAGATTTTAATCGTTAAAATGAATAATGAACCTTCTATAGGGACATCAAAGCCTTCTTTGTGTACATGAGAGCCATGCATATGGACATCCATATATGGAAGTCGCACGACAGACTTCCTATGTATATATTTTGTTTTCCTATGATTTTTTTAAATATTTTTTTATATATTTTTGCATGTTATTGTGTCTATTTTTAATATCATCAACATGGCCGCCGATCTTTTTTCTTTTGAATCAGAAGTTAATGGTTGAAGTCCAGCAATGATTAAGTTATGGTTGTCTTACTTTCAGATAAGCCATTCAACATCCAAGTGTCACCATCAAGTGTGGTTTTGAACGAAAAAGAATCATTTAATCTCATTTGTAACGCGTCATCTAATCCTCCTGGCGAGTACTCCTGGTCATTTAATGGAAATGTTTTGGATGGTGAAACCGATAAAGTATTAGCCAAACACGACATAACACGTGATGACGCAGGAGAGTATAGGTGTACGGTTACTAACAATATTGGTAGTGGTGCAAGTAATATCTCTGTGGTTAAAGTTCGATGTGAGTACTTTATCCATCAACGATATACTGTACTCATACTCCAATAATCCGTTGGCCTCCAGTCCAGCTGTGTTATCCCAAAGTGAAAAACCTTGCACTGTTCCGGTTGTCAGGAAATTCGATGTTTACTAACTCCCTCTCTTGCCTTCTTGTTCGCGGTCAGGTTTGCTTGGTTGGCGAGAAGATGGCGTCTTTGCCAATATGGCTTCTTTGAATGCCTGCCCTTGTTGAAAACTTTCTAAACATCTGCACACTTACAGCACTAATGAGATTATTTGTGTCCTTTTTTCGCAAATGACATGTTTTCTTGTTGGGTTAAGAGTGTTTGATTTTTGTACTGTATTTATTTGTTATTCTTTGCTTTTGTTTTGTTTTTCATTTTGTTTGTTTGTTTGTTTTCTTTTCCTTCTGTATTTTAACTTTTTATTGTTTAACTCTTTATATAGTCAACATCATTATTAAACCTGAAGTGCCTGATACTGATTCACGACACATAAAGACAGTAACATTATTTAAACAAACTAATTCTATCGGTCATAACTGACAATCTAAACCTTATGCTACTCATCAGGAAATATAAAATTATGTAACTAAGAAGACGTATCTTAAGTAGTTTCGTTTTTGTAGTCTTAGTCTAGTCTGTTTACTCATCATTGTGTATGATTCAGGTAGAAGTTAGATTACCAGTAGTATATACCAGTTACAGTCTTTCAGTCATTGTTTTCAGTTCTGCTATGCCACACTCCACTCAACATAGGTCTTAAGCAATATATTGTTGCCAGCATTGCTGAATATTTTAAAACAGTATACCGGTAATTGTATATATTTTTTATAACCTGAATAGAAATTTCCCTTTTCGGACCTCCTAAGCTCTGTATTTCTTTTAGGACAGCCAAAGTTCGTGTAAAACTTGTCTCAACAGCGGGCATCAGCCTTCTCACTAACACTATGATTTCAACTTTTCTAGATTTGGAAGAGTGCAAGAATAATAAATACACGCTGACCAATGAACAGTGTCTTACCTTATCGCCCGAAGGTTTTCCTAAGCCAACACTAAACTGTTCAAAGGTGGATTTCAATGAGACAGGAAAGAGTTACACTTTATGTAAACCAAAAAACAACGACAAGTGTACAATTTTCAATGATGCTCAAGAGTGTCAATTTGAATACGAAGTACTGAATCAAGGTAAGTACAACAACGTGATATTTGATTATTTCCGTTTCAAGCAACCCGTGTTTAGTCATTGCTTAGCTCCTGCGAGCTAAGAACAAATGGTAAACCGTCTAGTCCATTTTTCTTATCCCTTCCTAAGGAGGGTCACAGCATTACATTATGTTATTTTCAGTTTTTTGTTTGTTTTTTGTTTTTTGTTTTTTTATGTTTACTGCACACACAAAATGCTACTGGAATACCAAAGGACTTGCATAGAATACCTATAAGATTAGGCTTCTTATAACTGGTACATGCAAGAAAGCAAATATACTAAGGACCATTGACCTGAAAATCTAACAAAGCAACAACCATTCGGTATGTTGGTACGATTGTACGCTGTGACGTTGTGATAATAGCATTTATTCGAAACTGATCAACCTTGTACGTAGCCTTCGGTTAATTTATGCTGGTAAACGCTGAATGAAACTCAGGATATGGTATGATGTTGTTTTTTTTTAATTTTTGACTTTTTTGATTTTGATGTCCCAATCGCTATAGCCTATCCAACAGCGCCACACATGTAGGACTTGTGATATGATCTAAATCTCAACACTTCCTCAATGACTTCAATCTCTCGAAGACTTGTTGTATTCAAGGTTTCTGTTGTTCTGGCACTCTGTCGTAGCCTAAATATCTTTATTTTCAGTGATAGCGGATTGAAACCGTCAATCACGGAGCTAGTGGGCTATCTTGTTTGTTTGCTAACTAGGACAAAAAACTCCCTTTAGCCCTTTGGAAACATTTTTTAGTTTACGAAATTTTGCGTTTCTGGAAAACTTAAAACTGTAATATATTGCTGGAAACCACTGGCTACTTACATCTTATCTGGCTGGGATATAAGAACAGATATGTGTTCTTCCAGCCGTTTGTCCCTCCTAATGTCAAGGAATTCTTCCAGTTCTTTAAAGTTTTTAAATTTAAGGTGCGTCTATTATTAACAATTCTTTCCTTTCAGCCAAAAAGCCATTAACGTTTCGCGGCTCATTTCGCTGCACCAACCTTGATTACCAACCGCAATATAACGACAAAAATTCTTTTGAGTTCAAGAACAAGTCAGACCAATTTGAGAAAAATGTAAGTAGACTCATAAGAGTATACAGTGTCGCAAGTGACGGCTTGTAAGTGATTCATTTCAGTTTGATCTGAACAGGTGAAAATACACTAGATTTTTTTTCGTCCAAGACAAAAAATATGCCAATACCTCTCTAAGAACCTTTGAATAACACATGAACTATTAGCCAATGGGCTTATCCAAATTCGGTCACATGAATGACCTTTATGCTGTGTAAACTACGGCTTTATTTTCTTAAGCACCACCAAAACTCTTATAAATATGGCCAATAACAAAACGAGAAAGGGACTGGGTCCGAACTTCAAAGTCTCATTAAATAATGGTTCCAAAAAGAATCAACCCCATCAGAAGTACATATGTACTTCTGACCCCATCATGTGAGAGAGCACCATACAAAAGACTTACTGACTAAGTTTCATGATGTTTGAACTTATAACAATAAAGTTACGGACATTCAAACCATGCCAAAATTACAAAGAAATGTACTAACATACATTCTTTGTAATTTTAGAAATTTTTGAAAAATTCTATAATTCTAATTCTAATGACTTAAACTTGCTCAAAGTTTACACTTTAGCTAATTTATAAGTGTTTTGTCTATCGACAACAGATTTCTGTAAGATTGTATCACTTTTGAAATTTTCAGTCCCAGGCCCCTTCTCGTTTTGTTATCGGCCAAATTGTTTTGTTGTATTCATCCACGCTTATACATTTTCGCAGCGTTTTTCTATTGTTTCTCACTCACTTTTCTTGAAGACGTTGGCATTAGATAAAAACATTGAAGGCGTGTTAGTGTGGATGAGGCCATACTGATTTTTTTATCTTCTTTAAAGCTCAATTCGGTGTATGAAAGTTACAAAATTGTCACCGGAGTGCGTGTAACTGCCTTGGTGTAAGTACATTAATGACTATCGCTTTCACGACTTTCCGCGCAGGTTCAGTGACCACGAACACACAGCATTGAACCAAGGCGTCAAGGCACACTGATCACAGATCTATTCTTTTATGTTCACTGTACCTTGACGCCTCTGTTCAATGCTATGGTCAATGAACCTGAGTATGGAAAGTCGTGAGTGTGTAATGAATTTATAGTCGATTGGCAAAAGGTTGTCGTCGACCAGACTTCGTAGCACGCGACTCACCTGAACAGGTTTCTGGGTAAAAATCAATGAACTGGCAAATTAGACATAACAACACCTTCTAGTATAGTGCCAATTTGTTTCGGCTTTTTAYTCTCTTTTTTAAGAACTCGAAGACAAACATTGAACGTTGTATTCCCCTCCATGATGGAAAACAATGTGAGATGCAAAAATCAAAAATCAACATCMCATGCATACATAATTAAATTCACACGTGATTTKGAAATTTTTGTCACACATTATGWGTCAGTTCTTCCAATCACAAAGGCGTTCAAATCTCTAATTTGCCACGTCATTGATTTTTACCCAGAAACCAGTTCGGGCTAGTCGCGTATCGTGAAACTCTGTCAACGACAACCTTTTGTCAATCGACTATATATGATCGTCGCAGTGTAGATAATAATCTAAGTGATCATTAGGAAATGTATGGATCGCCCGAAAAAATTTCCAGCTTCAACGGGAATCGAACCCATGACCTCTGCGATGCCGGTTCAGTGCTCTACCAACTGAGCTATGAAGCAAACTATGTTGGCGAGCGGTCATTTTATTGGGTGAAGCCATCCATACTAAGGAACAAATAATGAAGTAATGGGTTCCGCTAATTGAAGTCGTGAATTGAAATCAGTTGGGTATATTAGTACGTTTTGTGGGTCTAATCACATGAGATATCAAATAGTTGGGGGGTTTTCTTTTTCTATTGTTTTATTTATTTTTTTAAATCCTTTTGTTATGAACTGCTCATACTAGCAGCCAGTTCTTACACACTATACTGTGCCTGTATATTATTCTTCAACCTTTCACTCCGAGCCTTCTGCTCACCGAGCCTTGACAAGGACTGAAAAACGTTACATTTACGAAGAAATATGAGTGCTAAAGAAGATATATTCGAGAACATATCAAACTTATTGCCATACATCGGGTGATATTTCCTTGGATTTCATTAGATTAGATCTTTTGATATGTTATAAATGAAGATGCTGAAAAGAGCACAAATACAGCATTTTTTTAAAGAATATATAAGTTTATCGGTCATTAGGAAAGCAAAAAGCTTTAAATTTTTCTCTCCGAAACCCTGGGACTCTTCAGCAATAGCTTTTAAATTTTTTGAAGCGAACCGTGTTCATATCTTCAAGCGACAGCTGTAATGTTCTGTCTATTAATTAAATGACATTGGTGTAAGCAAAAGTCTGTAGTTACATAAACATTAGAAGATCAAAAAGTTTGAACATTTCAAGAATATGAATTTATGATTTCTGCATGATTGAATTATGCCAAAACTGTCAAAATGTATTTATATTATTTGATGATTGCTGTAAAGATTGAAAAATACCAACTATTAAGAATTTAAAACAACAAAATTGCGAACAATTTCTATTGACATATAAAGATGCATTTGTTATTATATTGTTTTATTATTTCTGCATGATTTAAAAATTTCAAAACTGTCAAAATGCATTTGTTATTGTAATTTTATGATTCCTTTAATGATTGAAAAATACCAAAACTGCCAAAATGCATTTAATATTATTTATAATTCCTGTATGATTGAAAAATGTCAAAGTTTCAAAATATATTAAGAATTAATATTAATTTATGATTTCTGTAAGATTATCTAAGGAAGTTTTATTTTAGTAAATAACCACAAGAATTCAAAATAAGTGGTTTTCTTTACATATAATTATATATATCACTGATTTGCATCAACAAAGCTGAAGAGAAAAAGTTTAATAATTATTTAATGTAGTGCCATGGAATTTTTTGTTAGCAAAAATAAATTAGTCTTGACAAAACATGTACTAAAAATCTGACCAATGTGTCTTGCATCAGTACATCTTCATCCAACATGCATATTTTTTGGGAGCTCCGCTATTAGGTTTTACCTAATTTTTATATTATTATGTTATCGAATCGCATCCCGCTGCGGGTTTCCTGTGGTATTACGTCATTGATCCCTTGCCTCGCGGGTATATGTTTTCGAAACGGCGCGCGCTTCGGGTTACTTTACGTCACGATCCCGCGCCTCGCGGGATACAAACTAGTCTGACAAGGTATGAAACACTGGTCACGTGACWAATATAATTTTGCTCCTTTTTCACCGAAAAACAACAGAAAACGACGATTTTCTTCCAAACTACACATCGTCACGTTTCCTACCTACCTCATGATTTTYAGTGTGAARTSCACATTACGTGACGAGAAAATGAASATTAAGCATTTAACTCGCCGTGGACCGATGTGTGCACCAGCATGCGTGTCTATCCCTCCCTATCGTTTTTTTTTCGTAAAGACTTCGATACCTTTCGGAAAACAGTCGTGTGTTTCTCGAGGCGTAAATAAAAGTTAAGAATAAATTAACTTTCTTTAAAAAAGGAAAAGGAAACACATTGGCAAAATGTAAATAAACAAACAAATTTAAAATTTTTAAAATACGGAAACTTTTCGAGGTCTTCAAAGTTCACACAGAAACAGATACTAAAAACATTGGTTATTATGATCAAATCCAGTTAAAAACTGAAAGAAGCTTTATTACAATTTCGAAGTACAAGTATACAGTATTTTGTACATGTTTGTTGATCTCAGTCACATTGGATTCAGTAAACACCCAACAGTTGTACAATAAGCTTATGCAATATTGATGATTTCTCGAGTGCATACAGGTTTAACGAAGTTTTTACGAGTTTTCAATCAWYTAAAATTACTAGACGACATTTTTCATTAAATCAAAATAGACGAATTGTTCCTCATAATCAGATAAATAGCAAACCAAGCGGTAAAACGTAAGCTTACTGCTCACTCGAGTTCACCGTTTTGGACAAATCTCAAATTTTTGAAACTTTGCCGTAGGTTTTGCACAAACAAAAATATCAGCTTCAGTCATTCTTCAGTCATGCTTCAGTGAAGTACTATCATTGAAGATATAAACTTTTTCAACTAATCACTCTAAACTCTAAAACCACAGGCTTACCAAACTATCGAGAAGAGTCGGCTCCAGGCCTCCTATGGCGATTATCGGCCGAAAGCCGTTGAAAGCCGTTGAAATCTCTTCAAATTAGGCCATTTTCAACATCGATATGAAATATCGAAATCACAGCTAAAACAGAACAGAAATAAATCGGTCCCGAAGTTCAAACTATTGATTTCGTACCATGAGCTGACCAAACCGGTGTCCCCTCGGCATCTCAGGAATGCAAAATGTCACGCCAGAGATAGTCCGAAAAATATACAGCTTTGCGAAGGTGACAACTTTACCATTCTATAAAAAGCAGAAACGTCTAAATCCTAAAAAAGTAAAAACAGCAAAATCTGTGAAAGATCAACAAAGTTTCATGGCAGCGACGAAACAACGACGACGAGCGACTTATTATCGGTCAATTATCGGAAAAACCTCGAGCGTTGCGACTGTTTGCGAAAGGTCTCGAAGTCTTCACGAAAAAAACGATAGGGAGGGATAGAGAAGCATGCTGGTGCACACATCGATCCATCACGTGACCAGTGTTTCATACCTTGTCATAGCACAGGCAACCCAAGCAGAGCATACAAATTTTTTTTTTAATAAAATCATCTTACCTTGATATCATGTGTTCTTGATGTTATTTAACATTGCTGTGTGTGGTTTTGAAGGGATTTAGACCTATTTTATAAAAAATATCACCCTCAGTAGTAAAAGACTACAAGACTGGTTACAGAGCGTCCACACCACTCGTCTTTAATAGCCGAAAAAATATCTTAAATCCATCTTTTGCCTCCAAAATACCCTCAGCGGCATGTCTCTAGGATCCTTCTATCCAGAATTGGGCAACCTTTCAACGGTTTATAAATCCAACCGTGCCAAATCGTCATGTTTGTACGCTATTCGGACTCAATTTTTGCATCCGGTCAACCCTTCATYDASCGAGTTGGACACGGACTTTGACCGTCTTGCAAAACTCCCTCTGATTGGACGACAGTTTCCAAGGAATCACTTCAAAAACTCCCGACTACTAAGGGGAGTGCAGAAAATTGTACAACTGTCGACATCCCCCAAGGGCGCGCCGAACCCGAAGCCGAACACGTGCACAGCTCAGGGAAAACTCAGACTGTTTTTATTTCGAMGTTTTCAACCGRCGCCATTTTTGAAGTACGCTGAATAGGTTTCTTTTMAGAAAAGATGCAAGACAAGATGTCGACAGTTGTACAATTTTTTGTATGCTCTGCTTGGGTTGCCTGTGGTCATAGACTTGCTTGTATCCCGCGAGGCACGGGACGTGACGTAATACCACAGGTAATCCGCATTTCACTAAGAGCGCGCGCCGATACTAGTACTAGCGATAATAGCGTAAAAGAGTGCGCATTCATTCTTTTCTTTCTCTCAAGCAATAGTTGGGAAGCCTATGACACAGGTAGAGATCTTTATTTTTGTTATATTGTAAAGATTTCTAAAAAGTACACAAATGCACAACTTGGGCTCCCTGTGATCGCCTGGCTATTTTGATACTCAACTCTAACTCTTCAAATGCAAAAATACATACTTGGATTTTCAATTTTTTTCACGAAGAATACACAGAAAGGTCACATATATATTTTATTTCTTAAATTCGATGGTGGGTTTTTCATTAACTAAATAAGTTATTCACGACGACCAGTTTTTTGAAGCGAGCCGTGTTCAAAATATGGATCGCCATTCTATTTTGATGCTCAACTCCAACTCTTCAAAGGCGAAAATACGTACTTGGATTTTCAAATTTTCCCACGAAGAATACACAGAAAGGTCACATATATATTTTATTTCTTAAATTCGATGGTGTGTTTTTCGGATTGTCTTTAATGTCAATGCTTTTCTTCAAAAAGTCTTGAAATCTGGTCTCTTTTCGTCGAATCTGACACTTCAT